AAAATGTCACTATACATTGTATTGTGTGTGGTTGTATTAGACAATAAAGTTGATTCTATTCTACTATATTTAAACTTTCATTAAGTTTTCTGATAGCCAATGATTTTAAGTTTCTGTTGAGTTACAGTCATATAAAATATCAGTCTACTGGTGGAATTTATATCACTATCACACCTGTATTTTATGAGGAGGAAAGTCCATTGAGACAATAAAAAATATGCTCTGACGAGGTTTGTCATTTGGCAGGCAGAGATGAAAGTGGCTGACTGACTGCCGAGGGCAGAATAGGACTAGTTTTACATATTGTGGAAGACACAACCCAGTCCTGTAGGATCAATTGTGGGTGTACTGAAATACAGAGATTATTCGATACACAAACGATTACAGTCTCAATCCCCTGAACAATCGTATATAGTACTGTGGTCTGTCTAACTGTCCTTGAACAAGACAACAACAAGTAGAGTGAAATTGTTACAGAGCCTTCATACCATTTTAGTGAGGAAGTATGTATGTAGGTGGATGGAGGGGTCAAAAAGGTGTCAAGCCTTCGACACAGGAGGCGACTTTTCATTTCCCATTTCCTACCAACAAACAGACCATGATCGTTCCCTAAATCAGCCATGATGAAAATATTTAGTTTGGTATTTAGGTTGGGAAACTCCTTCAGAATTGTGAAAACCTTTATTATGGACAGTGGATTTCATGAAGGACAAGCCACGCAGTCTTTTGCAAACGTTTCAACTCTCTATATTTAACCCTCGTGTTGTCTTCCCGTTTACTATGCACCTTTTGTCCTCCCGGGTCAAAAGACCCAGCCTGTTTTGACTGCCTATAAAGCCTGAGGTATCAAATGATCACCAATTTTTTTGTTTGACCTTTTTAGTGAACTTGTTTCCAACACATTAAGATATATTTTACACTTATTTTTGTAATGTATGGTATGATAGACCTAATTTACATAAAATGACAAATCATTTTTGAGTAAAAAAAGCACAAATTGTGAATTATTTTCACGATGGTTATGATCAGAGGCACATATGTTGATGCATTATCACAGACTGGTATATGTCAAAGTTTAGTCAGGATATTGTTTTGAAACCATTTCAATTTTTTTAATGGCAGCAAATAGTGACACCTGTTTTCCTCCCGGGTCAAATTGACCCATCTAGTTCGACTGTTTATAAAGCCTAAAGTGTAAAATGATCACACCATTCTGTGTTCCATATTTTTAGCCAACTTCATTCCAACTCATTACCACAAATTTTAAACTTCTTTTACACCTCTATTTATGGACAATAAACCTAATTTACATGAAATTATACCATAAACAAAATAAGCAGAAATTATTATTTTGAATAACCACTGACAGGTATGTGTCAAATATTAGCCAGGATATCCCCAGGTCAAAATTGACTGATGCAATTGTATTTATAAATCAGTAAGTTCAGTAAGCATATATGATTTGCAAAGCAAGGTCCTCTTCATTGTGCTGTCTCAGAGTGAAATGTGAAATGCTCCGAGGATGCTGTACTTATCAGCGCAGTTTTTTTGTTTATTTTTATATTGTCCCCAATTGGAGAAAGGCATATCAAGGATGTCACAGTCAGTTGAGTCTAAGGGCAACTGGACGTGGTGTAGTTCCTTGAAGATGTACCACATAAAAGGTTTGAAATGAACATGTTTACAAATGTGTAGCTTGGAAATTGTTTGTTGTCTGGAGGCCGAATGCACATCAGAGGTTATATTTACAAATTTACAAATTCTGTTATCCAAAGTAATGCTCACCTGAGAGTTGGAAGTTGTTTTGAAGTGTGTGTGTGTTAATGCGTGCATGTTTGTGTTTGTGTGTGTTTGTGTGTGTGTGTGTGTGTGTGTGTGTGTGTGTGTGTGTCTGTGTCTGTGTGTGTTGTGCTGGAAAGTGTAATAGTGTGACCCAGTGCACCACTAAATGTGGCCCGTTCTAATTGACCCGGGAAGACCACAGGTGCTATAAATTTTAATAAAACACACATAATTCAACAAATATAGTATATATATATATATATATATATATATATATATTTCTATATAAAGGTGTCAAATGAACATTTTTACAAATGTGTAGCTTTGAAATTGTGTGTTGTCTGGAGGCCGAATGCACATCACAGGTTGTATATTTTACAAATTTACAAATTCACATCTGAGAGTTGGAAGTTGCTTTGAAGTGTGTCTGTGTGTGTGAGTGTGTGTGTTTGTTGTTTTGGAAAGCGCAATAGTGTGACCTATTGCACCACTAAATGTGGTCGGGTCAAATTGAAGACCGCAGGTGTTACAAATTTTAATATAATGCACATAATTCAACAAATATAGTTATAATTAATTTGACTTGCAAAAAGCATAACAGGGAAGCATCTGTGTAATTTTCAGACAATTATATGGAAGAAAATCAAAGTTATGACATTTTAGATTTCCCAATCGGGTCAAATTGACCCGAAGACCACAGGAGGGA